ATAAAAAATGTATTTTTTTAAAACTTTGTAAAACATGACAAATATATTTTAAAGTACATTGAGTCATGAGGGAAAAATGCTTAGGTTTTCATTAATTATTATTAACAAGTACTCCTTATTCACTGGGGAAAATCAGAAAATTTAGGCAGGTAAAAATAAAAATAAAAGCCAGTCTTAATCCCACCAATACATGATTCTGGAGTTGTTCTTGTCTTGTAGTCATTTCACTCATTTTTAAGGGGCTCTTCTCTACCTATAGTTCCATAAATTGCTTTTCTCTCATTAATTCCACAAAGTCAGTGACCATGCCGGTGTTCTTCACAAAAGCACATCCCCCCAGGCCCACTGCCCGCCCATGAGCAGACGATCGATAAAACGTACGTTTATCCATAGATACCTACCCGTTATCAGGTGTTCCAGGCACTATGTTGAGTTTCTCTGCATATTGCAGCCTCACAATTATAACCACATTTATTTGTGAAAAAAAAGAAAAGAAAAAAATTAACTGCCATCGTTTTTCTTAGTGAACTTACCTCGAGCTTCTCTGCTGAGTGGCGGGTCTGACTAGGAAACTTCCCCTGGAAGGCTGATGGCCAGGTGGCCTCAGGCTCAGGGTGCCCCTCCCTGGGGGGCCTCTCCCCTCCTGGGGGGCCCCTCCCCTCCTGGGGGGCCTCTCCCCTCCCTCGGCTGGAGCAGGAGGACGCCCAGTCTGCTCGGGCAGAGGGACTGTGCGCGGTGGACCCACCACCCACCCAGGACGCCGGAGTCAGGGGCGCCCACATCCGCGCGCGCGTGAATGCTTCTCAGTCCCGGATTCAACCAGCCGCGCATTGAAAACAGCACTTTCCATCCGCGATGGCGAATCTGGGGTTGCGACTCTGAGGCCACGAATGAGAGAATGCTGCTTCGGTTGGGTGAACCCATGGTGTGAAACCTGTCCATATCACGGGTTGAGTGTATTTATTATTTTCTAAAATCCGCCTAGAAGCGGACCCTGCAGTTCAACCCGACTTGCTCGTGGGCCAACCGCATCCCATGAGCCACTGGTACCCAAAATCCGGGACACCCAGGGCTTGTCCCACGGGGAAGGGCCCTGTGACTGCCACGCGGTCATCCTGGGCACAGGAGAACCTGGTAAGGTTCTGGCCTCCAAATTTCGGGCCCTCGCTGTTCTGCATACACCCAGACACCTAGAAGCATCTTTCTCAAAGCAAAACACTTTCTATCCTCAGCCAGGGGAGCAATTGGGTCTGGAGTGATTCCACTGTGATACGCTCCAGATCGGAGCTTTTTGCTTAATCAGAAAACTGATGATAGCGACAGAACTCGGGCAGACTCCAACATTCTAAAGGGTGCCATGCCTGGCACACTGGCCTTGTTGCACCCGCTGTGTCACAGTGAACAACTCGGGAGTGTGCTGGAACTGTTACTACAATAGTTATTGTGCCCTTGGCAAGCAGGCCGGCATTTAGCCGTAGTCTCCATATGAGGAGGACAGGAGGAAGAGAGAAAGAAGAAAGGGAGTGTTGGGGGAGGGGGGTCCTCAAAAGGCATGAGGGATCACCCCGCCTGATCTGCTGAGAACCTCATGGGGACCTAAAGGCCCAGGAGACACGTCTCCCATTAGAGTGTTCAGTGCACCCTGTTTTCTGAGGTCAAGTATCTCCTTTACTCCCATTAACCAGCCAGCCGTCTGCTGGTGCCCTTCCTTCATCCTGTCATGGCCAACCCGTGACTACCGTGCAGTTTCCAGCCAAAGAAAACAGTGAAGGTGAAATTGTGTGTGTGTGACTGTGTGTGTGTGTGTGTGTGTGTGTGTTTACCTAGATGTGTGTGTATGTCTATACATACACACATACCCGGTCCAGTATTTTTAAGGTGAGACTGTCTTAGTCACCCACGAATACAGTCCTAGAGTTTTTACCTTTCAGGGTCATCCACCACCACCTCCCCTGACCCCGTCCTGCACGCTCACATCCCAGTCGCGAGGAAGCCTCACCATGCTCCTTGCAAAGCATGCACTTCCGCACCCCACGCCCCCCACACCCTCTTTATCCTCCTGCTGAAACTTTGCTTCAGACTCAGCTCCAATGCCACCCGACTCTCACTGCTTCTGGGACCCCTGTTACCTGTCCCTTTCAGCCCCCCTCTGGCACGTCACAGGGCTCGCTTTCCATTGGCACCACACTCGCACCTGGCCCGTCCCTCTAGCCTGCCCTCTCCTCCGAGCAGGACTTCTGCTGCAGTCACCTTGGTCTCCCCTCCCGGCCTGGACGTGTGCACCGTGCCTGTCCACCATCTCCTTTCCTTTCCCCCAAAGCCGGGCTTGTGTGGAGAACACATGGGGAACGTGCAGAGCGATTTCCTTGTCGTGTGACGACGACAAATTGCATCAGGGAGTGAAATGCTCTTTTCCTCTATATTTTCACCCTCTAACACACTAAAGGTTTTATGTACATGCTGTTTGTCTGACTCCTCTGAGCACAACATACGCTACATGAGGGCTGAGACTTCTGTCTGTTGTGTTACCGTGGACACCCTCAGTGGCTGGTGCATGGTAGATACTTGGGCATCACATCTACCATGCGTCACTGCCGAATGGATTCACTTGGCTCAGGCATGAGGAGCGAGAGAGATCTCAAAACAAAGTCCTCTTTGTCTGCTTAGTGTTTGCATCAAGCGTAACAGAAAAGGGATGAGATGAAAACTACCCCAGTTGCCACAGATCCCAGCAATTGTGGGATTTCCCCCAAATCCTTCCACAACAAACCCCTGAAACCAGGGTGGGGACCCTCTGAGAGCACACACAGCCAACCTCTTCGATGCACACTCAATTCTCCCAAGCCCCCTTTCCCCTTCATCTCCCAGGATGTGTGTTTTGGGCTGAATTGTATCTTCCCAAGTACCTCCGCATGTGAATGTGTTTGGAGGCAGGGGCTTTCAAGAGGTAATGAAGGTAAAAGTGGGTCACAGGGTGGGCTCTCACCCACTATGACTGATGTCCTCGTAACAAGGGGGGAATGGGACACAGACACACACGTAGGAGCGACCATGTGAGGACATAGGGAGGTGATCGTCCATAAGCCACGAAGGAAACGAGTCCTGCCAACACCTCCATCTTGGACTCTCCGCCTCCAGAACCGGGAGAAATAAATGTCTGCTGCCTCAGCCCTACCCCCCAACCCCCATCGGTAACACCTTGTTATGGCTGCCCCAGCAAACTAATGGGATGTGGGAAGTCCCACCGGGAAGCATGTTTTGGTCAAGGACGCCCCCATTGAATGCAGGGCTGTAAGCCGAGTGGTAAATGAAACAGTGCCGACACTAAGGAAGGAGTTGGGAAAGAAACAAACAAAGGCATAACGTGTTGACATTTTTTTTTTTTTTATATTTGGTCTTTGTAAGTCTTTAAAAAAAAAACAAAAACATTTCAGGCCATTTTTTTCCCCTTAAAAAACAAACAGAGAAAAGCAACCGACAGCAATACTCTGTACAAGTATAACAAACATTAGAAATATGCATCATTCCAAAATAGCTACAAGAAAAATTACAGTTTTAGAGTCTACATCAACACATCCTACCCTTATGTGCCCCACGGGAGGTAAAAAAAAAAAAAAAAAGCTACAGTATGTTGAACTCCCGGCTGCTCTGGACAGTCTGAAAACGCAGGACCTGGGACTTGGGAGGTAAATCAGCATCGGTCACCGACGCTTTGTTTAGCTCAGTAAGCGTGACCGATCGTTCCAAAAGCGAACCAGGCTTTTTCTTCTACGTGAAAAGCAAACGTGAATCGGCTGCAGAGTGGGCCCCCACCCCCACCCTGGAGCCTCGAACTTGGACAAAGCCCAAACCCAGGGGAGCCAAGGAGGCCACCTCTGGCCGTCACCACACGCTCACAGAGAACACACCCCAGACGCCATTGCCTCTCGATGGAACTTTGGAGGCAAAACGTCTTTGCTTGGAGAAGAGAGCCAAGGACCTACATCCCCCAAACCAAGGCCCACTCACCCCACCCTGGCTGCGTGTCTGCATGTCACTCAGCTACTAACGGAGGGCAATCCCGCCCTCTCCACCGTCCCTCCAATTCGAGTTATTTGTTCCCGGGAGGGTTTGGGGCAAGAGCTCAAAAGCACCGTCCTCTTTCCCGTGACCATCTCCCAGCCTCTACACCCTTCACAGTTACACGCGAACCTTCCCTCGGCGGACCCTGCGCTATAAATACTCCCGCCGCCCCCCTCGCCCCGGCCACGGTGTCTTCAGGATGCAGAGAGGCGAGGTGACCTCCGTGTGACCTGCCGCTCGGAGTGCAGGCCTCTCCAGCAGCACAGGCCTTCCTCTGGGGCTGGGAATGGTGTGCGGGAGGGGCCCGAGGGTGCTGCTGGCCAGCTCCCCAGCCCACACCAGGTGGAAGGGAGAGGGTTCCGGGTTGTTGTGTTTTTTCTTTAGTTTCTATACAATATGGTTGTAATTATTGTTGCTTTTTTCATTGCTTTTAAAGGGATTGTTAGAGGCAAGCCCTTTCCTCGGACGTCTCCATGACAGTGGTAGGGGCAGGGCAGGGCACAGCATCTCCCAGGGATGTGACACCCAGATCAGACCCATCACAAGGGCTTCCTGACCAACTGGAGCGGGGAGGAGGGTGGCCACAGAGCTGCTGCCTCAGCGGGCACCTCTGACTGAAGCTACGGGACTCTGAGACCTGCCTGCATTGGGGGCCAGACCAGAGTGAAGGTCGGGAAGCCATCGGCCCACACCCGGCTGCACCCCACACCCCGCAACCGTGTGGCTTCCTGGATTCAGACCTACACAGCCCAAGGCCCCCCTCGGAAGTGGGGTCCAGAGGGCCCAACCTGGCCGGGCCAACCCATTCCTCGAAGGGTCTGGCCTTGAATGAACTGCTTACTACCAAAGACAGCAAAGGATTTATTCAGCAAAAAAAAAAAAAAAAAAAGTGCAATTTCCGTTTGGGAAGTCAGGTTCTCCCCAACACGAGACCTCACCGCCTCTCCTTGTCATTCTTTCGGTACCTCAAAGGGAAAGGGGACGACAGGCGGACAGCACTGACCTCTGAACTGAGTCAAGGGCATCAGTATGTCGTGGTTCACCCCTGCCGACCCCAAACACCCAGTCACACGTCCAGTTCCGCTATCAAAGTGCCGGTGAGCTGAGGAGCGAGGCAGGGTCGGGGGAAGGGCTCCTACGGGCCGGCCGGGAGCAGGGCCCCCGGAGAGGACTCGGCTCCCGTCTCCGATAGGACACATTCATCCTAAGGTTACAGCAGGACTCATGGCCGTGGCCGAGGACCACAGGCTTTCAGGGGCCGGACATTCCTTCATAAGACCTCGTGTCCTCCACTGCCCACGGGAGGACACACTCAAACACTTCTTCACAATAGAACCTGAGCCACGATATAAAATAAAAAGAAACACAACCTTCCATGTTAATGCCTTGAGAAGTTTAACAGATTATGTACCAATAAAATTAATCCACATAAATTCTGAAATTCGTGGTGGATACACACCTGAAGGAAAAAAAAAAAAAGTTAATCTACATTTTTTTTTTTAAATCAAAGTAATTACAGCAGCAGTAGAGTGAAAAGAGGTTTACAAAATAATAGTTACATCTTGATACCAATTCAAACTTTGTACACCTCAATTCAAAGGAATGACTGGTTGTTGTTGTTGTTTTTTGAGGGTTTAGTATCTATATATATATACAGTAGATATCAATATGTGTCACCACAGACAGACTAAAGCCAGTGGACTTCGAAGGAGGAGGAATTAATTTGACACTTGTATTCACACTGAAGTGTTCACAGATTGCCACGCACTTACACACACACACACACACACACACACACACATAAAATGCCAACCTGAGTAAAACATTGCTAAGAACCTAGAGCATCAGGAATCACTAGTCACATATTGCACCTTTAAATAATCCTTCTTACCAAGTACGAAATGAGGGAATGAAAGGACAGAACAGGGACTAGAAAAGGAGAGTCCATCACTGTAGGGTTTCCTTTGCTTCCCTACCCGCCCACCCCCCAAATTCCACTCTCACTCAACCAGCAGGCTGAACACACACATCTGTGGGGAACTGGGGGGGCAGAGAAGGGGAGGGAGGGGACGAAAGACTAGAACACAAATGAGAGGCGGGGGGAGAGGTGTTAGTGGGGGAAGGGACGGGGTGGGGGGGGAGGACGAAAGAATAGAACACAAAATGGGGGGTGGGGAGGGGAGATAGTGAGGGAGGGGCCTCCTCTAATCAAGAATAGGAATGTTACCGAGAAGGCTGGACCTCTGACACTAAACTACCGTTTAAATATTCCGCAGAGTCCAATTATGAGATTCAGTACAAAAATAGAGAAATCTTCTGAGTTCTGCCTGTGGAAGCATAATTCAGAAAAGGCACATGTTCAAATAGAAAACCCAGGCCGGAGAGGGCCGCCTGCCCCTCCCTGCACCATCATCAAGGTCCACAGTTAAGCATCTTCCATCAGAGAGATCCCGAGATTCAGTAGGTAAAAATAGACCTCTGATACTTAAAATATATTCAACCCAACACGATCCTGGCTTTCCCATGTGGATCATATAAAATAGTTTTGTTTTGTTTTAAAAAGAAAAAAATCTGTTTTGAAAAAGAGAAAAGAAAAAAGAATCATAGCTCACGTTTCCTGGTTTTCCATCATTCTCAGGGGAAAAGAGTGAACTCCTCCCACCGGGGACCAGGATGCAGCTGACTGGCTCATCACCCATCCGCAGCCCCCAACAGCCCCAACCTTTCGTCTGTCACGTGTTACGTGGGCAGCTTTACACCCTCAATTCGTTCTAACAAAACAGATCAAAGAATTAAGATACTAGACATCTAAAAGCATGTCCACTTCAGGGCGTCTTTCTTTGCTGTGGGTGTGGCGACCTCATTAACACCAGAGATTTTCCTTTGGAATCAGGCGATGTAACCATTGGTTTGTCCAAACGTGGCCATGGGGGCGATGTTCTCGTAGATTGTCATTGCGGTTGTGTTCTGGTAGATGAGATCCACTTTCGAGTCTTTATGGGATCGGATGATATCCAAAACACACTGATTGAGGAAAACATACTGGTCCTGTTGGACAAGGGGAAAAGAAGGAAGCAAGTAAGCACAGGTCCCGGAGATCAGCATCCACCCTTATTTTCAAAATTATTCCCGCTCCCCAACCCCACCCGCCCCACAGCGAATACTTCAGGTTAATGCGTCCAGGGGTAACCACTTTCCGGTGAGACCTGCAACCCCAGAAAGCAAGAATCTCACCATCACTGAGTCTCAGCCAGAGAGGCAGCCTCCCCAGACCTCCCCTCAGCAAGATTCCAAGATGAAGTAGTAAAAACAGACCTCTGACACTTAAAATATATCCAACCCAACATGATCCTGGCTTTCACATGTAGATCACATAAAAATAGTCTTTAAAAAAAAAAAATCTGGCCCTGACCGGTTTGGCTCAGTGGATAGAGTGTCGGCCTGCGGACTGAAGGGTCCCAGGTTTGATTCAGGTCAAGGGCATGTACCTTGGTTGCGGGCACATCCCCAGTAGGGGGTGTGCAGGAGGCAGCTGATCAATGTTTCTAACTCTCTATCACTCTCCCTTCCTCTCTGTTAAAAAAAAAAATCAATAAAAAATATATATTTTTAAAATTCTGTTTTTTAAAAAGAAAAAAATCATGCTCACTTTTTCTGGTTTTCCATGCTCATCGAGGAAAGAAAAGTGAACTCATCCCACCGGTAACCAGGAATATGCCCCCACCACAGCCCCCGACAGTCCCACTTTCTCATCGCCATGTGCCGGTGTCACATCCAAGGAGAAACACCCGGATCGTGGGGAAGGGCAAAGGAAGGATGTGGAGGTGGTAACGCACAAGCACATTCACATCATAAACGTTTCCAAAAGATTCTCTTGGCTGGTGAGGATGTACAGAATAAGGAATAGACTGATTCTCAGCCCCTCTGAGGGTAGGATTGAGGGGGGTGATGGAGGTAGAGTCCAGTGGGGACCACCCGTAGGCAGCATATCAGCTCTGTAGTGTCCATTAAAAGAGGAAGGAGAGGTATATGCCAACACAGGAAAATACCCATGATGCTGTAAGAGGAAATAAACTGCAGGGCAGCATCATATATAAAATAGGGTTTCATTTTTTAAGAATATTCCAGGTCGTGTGTGTGTACGGACACGTGTTTTTCTGCAGCTGTACATCAAGAAGCCTCTGAAGATACACACAAGCTGTAAACATTGGCTACTTCCAGGGAATGTGGGTGGGAAAGAAAAAGTAAAAGAGAAAAAATGTCCCCTAGATAATGCTGTCTTCATCGGATCTTTTCATTTTAATATTATTTTCAGTTAAGTTCATATTACTTTCAAAATTTTAAAGGGGACCTGGAAATCATTTGTAAGCAGGTATAAGATGTCTGTTTCTCTCAAAGGAGGAACAAAGGTAGAGAACCGCTACTCTACGCAATTATGGCCAAAAAAAAAGAAAAAGAAAATGTCTTTTCCAACCAACACAAGAGGGCGATTCCACACTTTGCACCACAACCACACTGCTCACCCCAAAGCATGCCATGTCTCCAGGCCTCTAGAACGTTCCCTGCTGGACTCCAAAACCGCGCACATATTCACGGCGACAGCCCGATACTAAATGAACCTGCTGCTCTCAACTTGGTCGAGGCAATTCACCCTGCAGCTTCAAGAAGGGCCACTTCCCAATATATGTGCTGGGAACATGCCTGGCAAAGGCTCGCCGGGAACATTTCAGGGCGGCCCCGTGGCTACCAAGCATCCCCTTTCTCACTTGCCCACCATCCTCCCACAGCTATGGACCTGCTGTTCTCTCACCAGCATGGGCTGGGATACATGGCTATATACATGTGTAAAGCAGCATTATGTTATTTCATATTATTCATATTTGATAAGTCTGTTTCACTAGTTTATTTCAAGAATGGTCAGAGCTTCTTAGAAACAAAGAGAGAGCCCGGCTGGTGTTGCTCAGTGTTTGAGCATCAACCTATGAACCGGGAGGTCATGTTTTTGATTCCAGTTAAGGGCACATGCCCAGGTTTCAGGCCCGATCCCCAGAAGGGAGCATGCGGAGGCAACCGATCAATGATTCTCTGTTGTCACTGATGTTTCTCTCTCTCTTTCTCCCTCTCCCTTCCTCTCTCTGAAATCAATAAAAACATTAAAAAAAAAAAAAAAAAAAAAAAAAGAAGAAACAAAGAGCTCAAAGACCAATTTTATGAGTGTTAAATCCGGAAGCCAAAAGTTCAGGGACCTGCTGAGATTACGGGTGAGTCGGTGGCAGTGGGTAAGGATCCTGTCTAGGGATGTGGTGCCATCAATGATATCAGTACCATGGGTCACTGTATCGGGTAGTTCAAGCCCACATCAGTTAAGAATCTTAAAGAAATCGAGTTGTTACATCACAGCCAGGAGCCAGAAAGATCTGGAAGGGTGACACAGCCTAACACGAGTGTGTGACGCGAACAGACAGGAAGGGCGGATTGTCCCACAGCTGTGGGCCTCACCTCGGTTTGCACCATTAAAGGCCTGTGCATGCGAAGGTCGTACACAATCCCGTACACGTCCACGGAGTACTCGTTCTCTATCTGATAGATGAGACGGTCGATGGCGATGAAAGTGCCCGTCCTTCCGACGCCCGCACTAGAAGGGAAGGGAACAAGCACGTCTCGGTGGGTGACCCCTGCTGCCAGCTTCCCCTGCCCTGTCAGCTGTGTGCTCTCCTCCATGACCAGGCTGCGAGGGCAGAGCCCAGGATCACGGAACGTTTGCTCTCCTGAAACCTCAGCTCGCTTGGGACGGAGGCCCCAAATCCTAACGTTCCTTTGGAGTCAAATGCCACACATAAAACACCTTGCTAGCCCAGGGGGTGTGGCTCCGCGGTGGAGCATCGACCTATGAACCAGGAGATCACGATTTGATTCCCAATCAGGAGGGCACATGCCTAAGTTGCAGGCTTGACTCCCAGTGTGGGGTATGCAGGAGGCAGCCAATCCACGAGTCTCTTTCATTATTGATGTTTCTGTCTCTCTCTCTCTCTCCCTCTTCCTTTCTCTCTGAAATCAATAAAAATACATTTTTTTTTAAGAAAAACCAAAAACCACCTTGCCAGAGCTTCCTGGATCCCCAGGCCCAGTCAAGTTGCCACCATAAGCTAGGATGGCAAGTTTCATCAATGTATTCCCCTGGGGGTAACACAGCTCCTCCTTTCTCCTGTCTTAAATTCGCCCATTTGCTTTAAAGCTCGTGTCACTGTTCTAGAGGAGGGGGTGGCAAACTCCTTCTGCAAAGGGCCAGACAGTAACTATCCTCGCTGTGCAAGCCAGTGGCCTCTTTCTGCCATTGTGGCGTGATAGTCACTTCAGATAATATTCAAACTAACGAGCACAGCTGTGGCCCAGGACAACTTCACAAAAATAGGCAGCAACACAGATTGTGGTGATAGTATCATGGAAATATATATATATATATATATATTCACACACACACACACACACACACACACACACACACACTTATCCCCAAGCTTGTCAAGTTGTATATATTAAGTGATGTGCAGTTTTTTGTATGTCAAAAAAAATATTTTAAGTGAATTAGTAAAACAAACTAGAATTATGTGTTTCGATATCGTTAAATAACAAACCAACATGCTGAATGAAGACAACAGGTTGCAGGATGATGTATGCACCGTAAAATCTGGTAAAAGTTTAAAGCTGTATGAAACCAGAGAGATATATGCATGTGCAATAAAGCATAAAAGCACGCAAGGGAATAACGCACATGAACTTTAGGACCACATTCACCTGGGATAGGAGACCGGTAGGTGGAGACTTTATATCTAGAATGTATTATTAACAAAAAGAAACCCATGTGGTCCCCTGGTCTGCCTTATACATGGTTACTCTTCTCTATATTTTTGCAAGGTTGAAATATTTTACAAGAAAATATTATAAATAAGAATCACATTAAAATACATTGTAGTTTTAAAAAAAAAAAAAAAAATACAGTCAACCTACCAGATCTGGCCCACAAGCTATCGTTGGCCATTCCCTGTCCCAGGGTTTAGGGACT